TCCTTTCGTTTATAGGCTTTGGTTACAGTGTGTAACTGACAACCTTTTAGAGTTGAAACAGGCTTTAGTTACAGTGTGTAACTGACTTACCTTTCATTTCCTCTAGAGTTGAAACAGGCTTTGCTTACAGTGTATAACTGACTTACCTTTCCTTTCCTCAACAGGCTTTCCTTACAGTGTGTAACTGACAACCTTTTAGAGTTGAAACAGGCTTTGGTTACACTGTGTAACTAACTATCCTTTCATTTCTTTTTGTGTAGAAACAGTAACTGGGTGGCTGGGGATTTTATTTACTGAGAATGCCAAACCAAATTTGAAACAGGGTCTGAACAGAGAACCAACTGGGACTCTGCTTCCAGAAAGACTGTACCAAGAAAACCCTATGAAGCGAGTCTCCTGTGTAACACACAGTTCACCATAGTTGGGGCAGTTGAGGTTCTCCACTCCTCCATTCAGGAATTATAAAGTGGAGCGGGGAGTCTTTGCTGCAGAAAGACAAAGTAACTTTGCTACTGTTAAGGTGTACGCAGTCTCCTGTGCATCAGGTCGCTATGAGTTGGTACTGACTCAATGGCATCTAACAACAACAACAGTCTATTTTTATGGGTGGTATACCCGTCAGCATGGACTGACTGGATGGTACTTAATTAACAACAACAACAAAACCCCCTCAGCACTGGGAAGTACCCTGAGCCAAGGAATTCTCGGTTGGAATTGGTATGACCTGATCCCGCCTTCCTCACAGGTTGGGACAGATAAAGCAGGCATAGAACACTGGACTGCTAACCCTAAGGTAGGTAGTTGAACCCCACCAGATCCTCTCTGGAGAAAGGTGGGGCAGTGTGCTCCCAGTCTGAGCAGGTCATTCTAGCTCGACTCTGTCTTACAAGGTTGCTGTGAGTCAGAGCTGACTCGATGGCAGTGTTGGTGCCTTCCAGGCTGGAGACCCAGGCTTCATTTCCAGCCAGCACACCTCATGTCGAGCTACGTCTCCCTGAGGGAGGTGTGTGTGTTGCTGTGATGCTGAACAGGTGCCAGTGGAGTTTCCAGACTAAGGTAGAGTAGGAACAAAGGCCTGGTAATCGACTTCCAAAGATCAGCCAGTGAGAATTGGGTCTGGATGTCCTGGTTCATCATGGGGGTGGTGCAGGGCCGGGTGACGTTTTTGTTCAGTTGTGCGTGGGGTCCTCCGTTTCTGCGGCTTTGTTATGGTAGCACAAGGAGACTCAGCTGGTTACGTGGTTACGTTGAAGGAGTAGGATTGGGGGTGCTTTGTTGTTAGTCCTGACTCCAAGTTTCTGAGGCTGTAAATCTTTGTGGAAGCAGAAAGCCTCATCTTTCTCCCATAGAGCAGGTGGTGGGCTTGAATAGCAACCGTGTGGTTCATAGTCCAGTGCTTATCTGCAGAGTCACTCTACTCCCACGGGGGGTGCTTTGGTTGGCTGTGTGCTGTGGAGTCAGTTCTGACTCATAGCGACCCTGTACAGGGTTTCCGAGGCTGTAAATCTTTACGGGAGCAGAAAGCCTCATCTTTCTCCCGCGGAACAGCTGGTAGTTTCAAACTGCCGACCTTGAGGTTAGCAGCCTGAGTTGTAACCACTACGCTACCAGAGCGTAAGGATGCGGGGGATGTTTAAGAGGGGAAATATTTTTACTTATTAATAACATAGAGCATGTTGAAAAAAGTTATGGGCATGTTTCGTAATTGAAAAAAAAAAATGAAGATTTGAGTTTTCCCCAAATACTCAATGTCCTTGAGAATAAAATATTGTCATTTACTTTATTTCTAGCTGTCTCCAAGTTTTATACACAAGGACCTCCCGAGTGGAGTCCACCTACCTGCCAACAGTTACCCTTATTGAACCTGCAATATTGCATCACCTCCCAGGACTCTAGGAGTGAGCGAATTGGGGGCGCTCTCTCTCAACCCCGGGGGCTCCTTGTAGATGGACACTGAGACGCATGTGCGGAAACACAAAATCCCCAGAACCAGTTGGTCTCTAAGTGTAATCGGGTCTTTTTACTTCTTTTACAACATCACCCACTAAACTGAATTCACAGCCCTCTCAGCCGACTCCAAGGTACTTAACAACAACAACAACAAGGGGTCACAGCCTGAGGTTTGGACCACAACAAGCCAGACTTTCTCATAGCACCCCAGTATTTGCAGGGGACTTTGCATTCTGTAAAGGAGCCCTGTTGGTGCCGTGCTTTGAACTGCTAACCACAGGTCAACAGTTCACAGCCACCAACAGCTCCTTGGGAGACAGATGAGGCTGTTTGTGCTTGTAAAAGCTTCCAGGCTTCGGAACCCCTTAGAGCAGGTCACTGAGTCGGAATTGACTGAAGGGGGTTTGCATCTGTCCCTTCCTCCCCGTAACCATCCGGCACCTGCATTTGGCAGTTGAGGAGACCGTGTTGGCGGGTCAGGGAGTCTCCCAGCCTCCCTCACACGGTCTTCCTGTGTGACTGACTTTAAAGTCATTTCGCGACCTCATCTGTGTGTTTCCCTAGGAAGTTTGGAACTGAAATCTGTTGTGAGAATGGTATTTTATTTCTCCCAGAAACCATGCTGTGATTGTGGTCCTCTGGGGAGAGGGGAAATGAGAAGGAAGAACCTACCACAGTCACCCTTTCTCAGCTTAAGCGGAGCGCTTAACTCTCGGTGTCACCAGAGCTCCTTAAATGACTTTTTGTTGTGAAGTGCTGTCGAGTCGTTTTCGACCCATAGCCACCCTGTATAGAGTTTTCAAGGAGCAGCTGGTGAGCTTGAACCACTGACCTTGCATTTCACTCGGCTTTGCGGTCTGACGTGTTAGCCCACAGCACCCCAGCACGACTTAGGAGAACAGAAATTCAGTGTCTCACAGTTCTAGAGGTTGACGGGGGCCTGTCTTCCACTCTGCAGCTCCGCAAGAATCTCTCGTCGTCTCTCCCGGTCCCTGGTGACCACTGGGGAGCCTTGTCCTCCAAGATGTCCTCCCGCTCTCCTTGCCTCTCCTCCGGTCCTGCAGGTGTGACCTCAGTGCCCCCCAAGGAAGTCCACATCTGACCCCCAGAGCCTGTGTGTGCTACCATGGGCAGCAGTAGGAACTGTGCGTGGGGTGGGGTGGGATTGCTGAGTGGACCCCACTCAGCAGGGGAGGAACTGGGACCCTGGAAGTGAGGTTGGAGGAGTTATAAACGTCCAGGAGTGGGAAGCGCAGGGCAGGGATTCTTCCTTGGAGTCTCTTGAAGACATAATCCACGAGACCCAGAGGTGCCTTGACGCTGGTGATTCTGCCACCGTTGGGCACTGGACAGTATGTGGGGGACATTTGTAGGTGTCAGGACTGTGGGGAGGCAGGTACTAGAGCAGTGGATGGGGGGAGGTGCTCAGCAGCCTGCAGTACCCAGGACAGTCCCTGTGTCACCTGCAGGGTGACCAGTTATCCCCTGGGAAAGTGCTGAACACTTCCCATTTGGTGTTGAGTGTGGTGTGAGACCCTCAGCCTCAGCCTCCAGATGAGCATTCGGGCTGTGGCCCCAGGCAGACCAGGTGTCGTTCAGTCGTGAGATAGGGGGATCCTGGTCCCCTATAACACAAAGGGGAGAAAGCACCCTGGCAGCTGTTTACCTACTTCCTACGCTCCTCCTTGTACACACGGTGGTCTTGGTCCATCTCGGGTGTCATGGTGGATGAGAGCTGTCTTCTGTGTGTTCCTTCTTGTACACACGGTGGTCTTGGTCCATCTCGGGTGTTACAGTGGACGAGAGCTGTCTTCTGTGTGTTCCTTCTTGTACACACGGTGGTCTTGGTCCACGCCAGGTGTCACTGAAGGATAGCTATCTTTCAAGGAGCCCTGGAGCCAGTTAATCAATGCTTGGCTGCTAACT